AAAAATAGATTTTTCATATGTTTTACTATGTGATCGACAAAAATTACGTAGACTTTTGTCCAGTGAGTGTATGTCGAACAAGCGAGAGATGGCCAACTAATATTTATGTGCCGAATAAAGACTTCCGAAATTTCAAGTAAATATTAATAATATGCTATTAATATTAGTTTACGCCAATTGCTATGTAAACTTGGGAAAACGTTACCTTTTCTAATGATAATGAGACAGCTTTCCAAATACCACTTTAAAAGTAGGACAAGAAAGTACACCGCCAAGTTAACAAAAAGAAAACTGCCCAAAAATTCTATATCGATCTTTTTACTCACCTGGCTTACTATTACGGAAAACTTACGGACGATAGTGAAAAAAGAGGTTACCATTAGATGTTTTTACTGCTTACACCGATTAGAATGATCCACTCTATCGAATTTACGAAAAAATGTTTAGAGGTTGTTATTGAAAGGGAGGCCTAACGATTGACCACTAAATTTTTATTCTTTATTATTAATGTATATAAATCTTTATGTAAATGATAGTACGTTTATAATCTTCACATTTATTGTTCAAAATTTGTATTTGATTTATTATCCATAGCATGATTCTCAATTAATCAAGTTGCAAGGGCCTTTTTTTGTTATAATCGCCTGTCGGTATATAATCGCTCCGAGTTTGAACCAATCATCGACGCAAGGTATTGATATTAATATACGCTAGCAGCTTTACTTAAGAATACAAATAATGACTTCTTAGGCTGTATTATAATAAACTTACAATAATTTTTCCGCGCTCAGAATATATGCAACAGTTACAAACGTATGGGCATTGATATTGTAAACATGTATGGTAGCTGACAGTGTGAGTAAAAATTTTAACTTTTGTATGAACAACTTTTAACATTTAATCAGCTAAATTAATGGTGACCAAGTACTTACATTTTAGCTACAAGTTTCTGTAATTTTCATAATTTGTGGGTAAAACAGATAATGTTGTTGGGTCATAATCAGGTGTATTATTTTCATTCTCGTTACTTATTGATTACTGTATATATAATTTTCAATTCCTATTTTTCAAAAAACAAGCCATGCATCTTTTTCATTAATGACACTAATTTTTTACAGTCCTCTGGGATTGTATGCCATGTTTAATTTATCAATAATTTTTAACAGTGAAAGTCGATATGATATTACGCACCCAAACGGACTTTTCTTTGGAATGGAACTTGTCTACTTAATAAATAATATCTATACAAACTCACAAATTGATATTACAAACTCGCCAATATTACGGACGACCCGACAAGTCTGTTATATCGACTTTCACAGTGTATTATATTCCACATGGCATTAAAGTATATTTCACATCTAACTTAAAATATCAAATACGGAGCCCAGCATCAAATTACTTTTATTTCGCTTTTGCTTTACAAATACTGTAGAATAGGTAAAAAAAAACGAGCATTACTCTACGTAATTACCAAAGGCTAGAAAACATTTGGTCGTTTAAGCATAAGCATGCTCGTGGCATGTTACAATTCTCGTTTGTTTCTTGGCTAACTAGCATATTTAGTGACGTACAAAAATATTTACCATAGTTCCATGCCTCTTTCGAAAAAATTGAACATGGACCAGTCAACTAATAATCCTGACTTAAAACTCATTGAAATTTGTGGCACATTGTAAAAAAAAAAAGATATCCCAAAGCATGGCTATCATACTAGTAAATTAAACAATGTGGAACATTTCAAATCAAATTAAGTAGGTACGTCTTTCTTCTGTGCTTGTTAAAATGTGCGATTTTTCTCATTGCTATTATTTTTACATCTGTTAGCTCATATTTGAAAATTAACAGAGCAACAAAGCCAATTAAGAAAAACCACATTACTATCCATGCAACTATACTGTGGTATAGCTAAGATGCCAATTATAAGTTCAAACAGTTTTTATTGTAAATCTCGCACAAAATCAATATTGGTATACTTGTACAATTTACATAAAAATCAACAAAGTCAAAATTGTCTTCAATGATATCTGTATATTTGAAATATAATTATTGGCAAACAAAATTACACTATCTAAAATATTTTATAAGCTGTTGTAGACATTATATGCAGTGTATTCTGCAAAAATGTCGGAATAATCAAACCTACCAACATAGGTATCCTGTGCAATGTATTCATCAAGGTCATTACTGACAACATCTACATTTGTATTCATAGAAGGGGTAGAGACATCAAGAGTAAAGACATCATCCTCATATGTAATAAATTCACTAAAATCATACTCAAAAAAGTCTACTGTACGAGGATATACATAAATGTTATCAAACATACTTGCATCACTAATATATTCACCATCTCTGACAAAATTGTCAATTATACTCCTCAATTTATGAATGCAATCCCTACTGACCAGTCCAATGTCATATTTAACCCTCAATGTTTTTAGTGTATCACTGAGGTGGTAAAGAATCACATTGAAATGTGCTTCAGTAATCTCAGAAGAATCATCAATTATCAATGATCTCAGAGAAGGTCTTGATTTTGATAGAAAATTCTCCAAAGAGTCTACCTCAAAGTTTCCTGTATTGCACAATTCTAAGTAATATAAATGTGGGATTGAATGCTTAGACAAAGCATTGAAAAGCCCATCAGAATAACTTTCTCTCAAAGGTGATGAATACCTTACTAATAAAGAATGTAAATTTGGTAAATTTGCCACCATAAATGCAAGAGAAATGCTTAATTCTTTGTACACATCAATAGATAAATGTGAAAGACTGTTACAAGTCTGTGACATAACTCTTAAAACACTGTCAGACAATTTTTGCTTTTCAATGCTGATCTCAATAAGTGTCTTTCCATGTTTATGCAAAATGAGTTCCCATATTTCATCTGATATAGGTGTGTTCTTAACAGTAAGTTGTTGCAAACTCGGTAAATCTGCCATAATAAATGGCTTAATTCCATGTGTTGTCATTATAGTGCAATAAAGTAACTCAAGATCCTTCAATTTGTTTAGTTTTGCTGCCTCAAAGCTTGAACAAGTTGAACCAAAGTTGACACAAGCAAATTTAATAGATTTAAGAGAAGCTGATTGTAATCTCATTAATTCCATTATTGATCCCATATCTGTATACAGACTTTTTATTGTAATTGACTTCAGTTTATGTTGAACCTGGACAAGTCTTTGGAAACTATCTCTTGACTTCTTTTTAAGATGATATTTTCTGTAGTAAAAGTCAACTGACAGAGATTCCAGATTATGTGCTACTCTTGACAGTGCTCCAAAGACCCTCCTGTGAGATCTTTTTGATTCCCAGGTAAAGCTTTTCAATTGTAGTAACTCTTTTGTGGGAACAATAAATCGACTCAGCTGTTGGTAAGATAAGACATTCCATGGTGTAAGTGAGAGAATCCTTAGTTGTTGACAGTATTGGATCGCAAAACTGATAATCCTCACTGTTAGTCTTTCAGTCCTATTCATGTTGTCTTTTGTATCACATGAATATCTACCATATGATAGATCCAAATTGAGCCAATATACAACAAGTTTCCATACTTCATTGAAGTGAATCTCTCTTAAATATCGACTATAGTCAAATGAAGCTTCTTTGTTGGATTTTTTTTCCAAGATTTCCAACTCTTCTTTTATGTCATCTACATTGGTAAAACATTCAATGAAAGTTTTCATGAGGTTTTCTGCTCTTTGTCTTGATATTAGTTTAAGTGTTTCTGTCTTGTATCTAGAGTTCTCTGACTTTAAACAAGTATACAGCAAAGTAAAAGGTTTGGCCCAAAGGTATTGTATAGATGCTCTATACCAATTTCGGTTTATTAGAATACAAGAATGAAGGGCTGCAGTATCATTAATGAGCTCGTTTAAAATCATGGTAAGAAGTTCTGGAGGCAAAGCTACAGCCATGTTGAGAGTAAAATATAGGGATAATGTGAAAAACGGAAGGGTGTAAAAGCTGTAGTGGCTGTTATTTCTTATCCTGAGATCATGCAACACTGACGACCTATTACGCTATGGTCGATCTTACTAATAATAGAGAATACATTCACAATTATGCAAAGAATTCCGATTGGTGTCAATCAACAATTTCTTGATATACAAGTGTGGGTACGCAATGCAAGCCTTTGTCGATTGTCCCCTACTGTGTAAGTGAAACTAACCACAACAAAGCAAACGTGTATTGGCTGATTAATGATCGACAATTTCATAACGCAAGCTGTAAAGGTTGAAGGAAATCGACGCATCGCATGAATACAACATAAGCGTAACTTTATGACCGTCGAGTATTTGGGGAAATGGGACGTATTAAGCGATGAAGATATAGCAACAAACAAAATGGACCGAGGTTATCTTGTCCACACAGCTCGATAAGATGCGGAGGAAATCGGCGTAAGAATGACGGTCTATGGGGCTAACCACAACCTTTTTAATCCCAAGGAATCTGCGCCCTTTCTGCAAGTTTCTATGCTGCGTGCAAAAGGCGCATCTTCACTTTATTAAAGTTATTAGCAAACCGGTTATCATTGCTAATATCAGTAATTAATAATTCAATACCCAATTGTTCAAACGATCCGATTATGTCAGACTTTATTTCCATTATTCAAAATGATCTGCATTTGTAGTACCTGCGGCTGAAAGCTTCTTCGAAATAATAAAAGAAGGGACTGATGATCGACATGTTATTTGATTTTCTACATTCCTTATACCACGCCGACAGTATTAGCAGACGTGTAATAATATACACAACAAATGATTTGACCTACTGAATAACAACCTCTGACTAGTCGCTGGTTAAATACAACCCCGACCATTTGCATGCTTACACAGCTTTTGTACAGATGTGTTAGCGTGCACATTGCTTATTCTTATTACAATTAAATTTCTATTCGAATCATGGTGACGTCTGAATGATTCTATTCTAACGTAATGCAAGCGATAAGAAATTACATATAGCACAACGCTTGTAAGGTTTTAAACCTTTTCTTTTACTAAGCATCGATAACACGAGCAAGATAATAACGAATGGATTATGGTCACTTATTAATTTCTCTAAAACGATAGTTGTTCAGACAACAATCTGGTCTTGCACATACGGCCAAACGAAAAATCGTATGCAAAACATCCATAAGACTATTAGACCGTCCTTTTTACAAGACGGGTTGATTACATCTTGAGGGAGAAGTGTAAAGTAACTCTCAGGGGCAATACCTTTTGAAGTAACAACCATTTAAGTATTGTTTCAGGTACCAATCTAAATATAGATGAATAGATTCCAAGACGCCAAGAAATAGGAAAGTCGCAGATATGGCTATCGTGTACAAGCCGTTGATCGTTTTTTAAACAGTCGATTTGTCTATAAATATATCTTGCCATAGATGGCCTTTCTATTTGACTACGTCATCGTCACAATTGATTTAACACGTTAAATGCTGTTCAAAGACAACATGAGCAAGTGGATTTATATCGCTTTCAGTATTGCATGTTATTTGGGAAATTCTCGGAAAGATATTCCATCTTGACAGAGCGATGAAGTTATTACATGCGTGTAATAATAACTACAAGTCTTCCAAGTCTGAAAATAAAAAATGTGTATTTACTTATAGTTCTATCCGTCTTAGTTGATAGTTGCATTAAATATAATAAAATTTTGGCAGTTCTGACTCACGACTTTTAAATTCATAATAAGTTTCGACATTATTAAATAGCCAGATAACGATGTAAGCATGACGACAATGACAGCTTCTACCATTAACAAAGACATTAAATAGTGTTTCTGTTCTCTATTCCTTATGGACGCATAAAGACAAGAAAAGGATAACATCTAATCATGTTTTATTTAGAAATCTCTTTCCGCAACAACACATATTAATTATAATATGTTTCTTTTTATAGACTGATCGCCATAACATTGACCATTCCAATAAATATGTAACATAACTTGTGGAGAATATGGCTCGGAATAAGCCATGTATGGAGGGTGCTCGGATGGAGGGTTCACTGTACTTTGCTGCCATAAGCACCCATCGTGAATAAGCCTCTACAAGTAAATTTCGATGATGTATGGACAGCTACTAATAATCCATCGAATAATTACGATATTTATATTCACGTTCCTTTAATATATTCTGCATCACCTTCACACCTATTACTATCGGTTCAATTACTGCGATTACTACCAAGTCCTCTTAAGGTTAAATTATATTTCACGTAACGAGTGTATGGTAAGAGTTTTTTCTCTAACTAACACATTTTATTTCAACGTTTGAAAAAATAGAGCGCAAACCATAATTATACTGATTTCAGATTAATATAAGTTTATGCCCAGACTGGACACAGATCACTATTAATATTAGGACTAACGTAGCTATCTAAATGAGCGATTACATTGCTTACGTGTGAAATCATGCTCGTCTGTTCACCGTTAAATTTAAATTTCAAAGTCCTTAATGAGCGACCAAGATATTTGAGTAAAATCTTAAGATGTGCATCAGTAATACGAGATGTATCATCAATTATCAATGACCTAAGAGAAGGTTTAGAATTCAGCAAAAAGCTCTCTAAAGATGTAGGTTCAAAGTGACTCATATCATGTAATTCTAAATTATATAAATGCGGAAATTCATACTCGGAAAACTTATAGAAGAAATTAGTAAAGTTTTTTAAACCTGACAATACAAGAGAATGTATGTTCGGTCGATTTGACACAGTATATGCAACAATAGGTAACTGGTTTTCCAATATGCCAACCGATAAATATTCAAGTTTGCAGCAAACTTGTGATATGGTTATAAAAACATCGTTAGGTATTACTTGCTTTCCAATTTTTAGACTTACCAATTTCCCCCCATGCTTTTCCAAGATTCTCCTCAGAATCTCACATGACATTTCTGTACCTCTGAAAGTAAGCTCTTGTAAGTGGGGAAACTCAGTTTCAATCATTGGTTTCACAGTGTCTATCATTGGTATTTTACATGAACGCAAGTCAATGCTCTTCACTCGACGAAACTGCGATGGTTTGAACTGCATATTTTCGCCTGATTGGAATTTGACTCCCAACAATATAATTGATTCGAGACAATTTGATTTTACGTTTAGTAACTCGAATATTGAAGCCATGGTTGTGCTTAACCGTTTCACGTGAACTGTTTTTAGATAACGCTGCGTCTGAATTAGTTTTTGAAGACTTGTCTTTGCGGATTTCTCCAGGAATCTGTCTTGGAAATCAACTGATAGCGATTCCAAATTATGCGAAAATCTTGAAAATAATTCGAGCATCTTGTCGTTTGCCACTCCAGACAACTTGAAAGCACAAATTCTCAAATGCGGCAGACTTTTTACAGACATGAGAATTTCACTTATTTGTTGATAATATGACAGCCGCTTTGGTGCTTCTAGTGTGAACGTCCTTAAATGCTGGCAATACAGAATAGCCAAGCAAACGATTTTAACAGCCAATTTTCCAGAATTACGCATAGTTAGTGAAAGACTTTCGTAATCTCCACCATATGGAGTACACCAATCCCTTACGAGGGACCAAACTTCATAAAAGTGAATTTCTTTTAAATATACGTTGTAATTAAATGGCGGCTTTTTCTCATACTTTTTTGTCAAAACACTGACATCTTTTTTAATCTCTTTTACATCAGTAATGCTTCGGATAAATGTTGTCAAAAGAGATTCCGCTTTTCGTTTGCATAATCTCGATTTTATATAACATTCGCGCTTATTGTACAACAGCGTAAACGGTCTGGCCCAAAGATGTCTAATAGCAACTATGTGCCAGATTCGATTGGTCAGAATACATGCATGAAGTGTCTCTTTATCATACGCGCAGGCGTTTAAGATCATACTGAGAATCTCGGGAGGTAGATTGGCAGCCATTTTCGATATAGACATTGAAAGGCAAAAGCCGCATCAGTTTATAAAAATCATTTGATCTGCAAATCTTACTAAATATGTGTTATTTTCGTTATTCCAAAAATGTCAAAATATTCAAAGCAATGTGTGACCAGTGTGAAATAGGTAATAACATAAAAGGCGAGAACTGGAATGCATTACAAACTATAGTTTGCAATTACATCAATACACAAGCACAAGGGAATATATTGTAGCGTATCACATTCTTTTCACTTTATATCACAAAGATCTTTGTTCTGGTTAATAGTTTAGTATTACGTTTAAAGGTAGCTACCATGACGTAATCACACTTTTCAAGCTCTTCCTACCGCATCTGCTACAAATCAAGTGATGATTCTCTGACTGCATGCTAAGAACTAATTTTTTGGAAGCTCAGTTAACAGACATCATATGTATGTCGCGCAACGACGTAGTTGACTCTCTACAATTACAGTTTTCGATAAGGATAATTCTACAATTAGATGTCTAAATTGTACGCTTGTCGTGTGATATCACTCGTACAAGTTCCAAATTCAAATGTACGACTCCCCAACGGTTGTTATTTCCGGATGGGAATTAACCGCAGAATTAAAATTTTATTACAATGTACAGTATTGGAAGCTACTAGTAATTATGTCGTCTTATAATTAGTATAGGGGAAAATTGAATAAATATCATCACTTTTCGACAATCTATTTGATGCAATCGGTTTACCTTGTTAACCATGGGGAAATCATTTCTGCTAAAATAATGCAACTAAATTGCGTGATTAGATGTTTATGGACCATCATGTGGTCTCTCGTTAATTCATCCAAGAATGTTTATTTCAATCAATGAATGATTGATCACATATCTTCGACGGACCATCGGTATGCCTCAACTTCTAGTGCTTTACGAGTATTCTGTCGAGCGAAATGTTCTCTCTCAAAACCGTTGGATCTATCTGGTAAAAAATCAGATAAATGCATCAAATATTAGAGACTTGCCAGTGAATAACGTTACGTCGGATGGAGTAGATACTTCACCTACACCATCCCATCGATACCCAGGTTGTATGCCAAATCTATTCGGGGGGGCTGTTCCTTGATATTTGGGAATGTTTCTATCTTTGATTTTCTTTGTCTTGAAATAAATAATGCATAAAGACAAGATGCCTGTAAATACGTCGAATCTTATTATCAACGAGCAACAATTATCTTACTTTTGGTAAAAATATAGCAGCAGGATCATTCCAACGTTCTCGTGCTTTCAACTCTTCGTTTAATTCTGCGTCATCCTTGTATCTGCAGTTGTAAACAGATAAATCATATGCCATTATTAAATTACGTATAATAACAGTAAATCACCTACATTGCCAAAGGCTTATCCTTCATGGTACGTTCTTTCTGCTTTTTATCTTCGTTACCCCATTTTGCTCTCTTTTCCTCTTCTTCTATTTTCTTTCTTTCTGCTTCACGTTTCGCATTCATATCAATTTTTCTACCTTTACTCAAACAACAATTTTATTAGTTTACATTTGATCTTGTCAACAACCCGGTAAATGAGCATGTTTTCTATTCACCATATTTATCACGATGCACGATTTCAGCATTGGCTCCAGTTTCGTAACCCTTATTATCTTCTTCGCGTTTTCTTTTCCGTTTATCAAGCATTTCCTGAACTTGATCTGCGGATAGCAGTCCAGCAGGTAGTCCAGAGGCCATAGTAGGTTTTGATGTAGATGCATCTAATTCGAGTAAATTGGTTAACTTGTGAGTATCGACGAGAACAACCAAGCGATGGCGATTCCTTTTCATAAACAATTGTGTCACACCTGAAGCGGATTTCTTATCCGCAGGAGTCTTTTCCTCAATTTCGCTCTTAATGGGTTTCCGATTGCTAGTATTTTCATTATCTTCGTCTTCGCCCTGAATTGGTTTCCATTTAGAGGTCTTTTTAATCTCTGACTCACCCTCGTCTTCTTCTTCATCTTCAGGGTTGACAGATTTCCAGCTAGGAAAACTGTCGTTCCACTCGTCTTCAGGCTTGACGGATTTCCAACTATTTGTCAAGTCGTCATCATCTATTATAGCATAATTTCCCGAAGATTGTCCTTTAGTTATGCTAATCGGTTTCTGCTTCTTTTTCTTCTTTTTTTTTAATTCGTTGGAAGTGGAAGGCGTTGCGCCATACTTTTTTTCAAGATATTCTTCCAAACTCGACATTTCCAAAAAGTGTCTGGTGACGCTGGTTTTTGCTACCATATAGTAATACCTGTCATCTTAACCCGTGACACCAGCCCAACCTTGTTTAAGTTCTTTAGATAATTTTAGCAGAGTGATTACATCACTTTGCATTACCAGCAAAAAAATTATCTTTGCAAACTTGACACACGCACACACAGCACACACAAACACACATATACGAACGTAATCGAATGCTATCGTCGTCTTCCAGGAATTCAGAATAGAAAAGTAGTAAAATGACTGCGGGTGGGTAGAGTTTTAGTTTAGAGGGTGCGGCTTGAGTGGAGCGTACTGTAATTATTTGAAGAGTCCTGCTAACCTGCGGCCATCGGATTTGTATAGTTAACTTGGAGCTCGCAAGCGAATTACAAGAAACAGTTATTGTAGATAAAGATGAGGATCCTGAGGAAATTAATGATATTGACTCAGACGAACAGTTTACAGCCATAAACGAGAATCCAAGTGGTATGAAATCTGTAGTAGAACTTGAATATTGAACGGTTTCTAATATAGTTATAGGCACTAGGATAGCATTCGAGCAGTATTATACTCGTCGAGTGTGCGTTACGGTCATTTTATTATGTATTCTTGTTTTCTAAGTTGTAATTCATTCTTTAAATGAGACCCAGATGGTCTTGTCGATGACATGGATGAGGACGACTTACTCTTGGACGAGTCTTTATCACCACTGGAGAAAATTTTCTTATTTGCAAAAAGTGATTTAATTTTTCACAGGTATATCATCATGTAGTATATGTGTATGGTATGATTTGCCGTTTTTAATCTTTGTTGGTATCCTAATATTTCAAATTGATGTTTTTTCTTAATGAGAGTGTTTATTGCGAAGGAATTACCAACGCTAATACGAGACATTGAGATAAGCGAAGCAGTAGAGTACGTAGTACCGTTAATGAATTCTCTCGGTACTGATCCAGGCAAGTTTTACATTCATTCTATTACTACTGATGTATTCCATCCATTTTAAGATATGAATTGCTTACGAAAGTGTCTGACATAATTATAATTCATAGAGGAGTTGGTTAAGGAAGCTTTCGCTCCAGAATTAGATAAGATTATATGGTTTTATTATTCTGTAAGTACCCAAATACTATAGCGCACTAAACGATAACATTTCACTGTCTTTGCGTGACTCGTCCCATGTACCTCCAAGTTTGTATGATTTTTTAATACCGATTCTTCCAATATAGCACTGCCCACTACGGGAATTATCACCAGAGAACGGATTACCTGAAACATCCTCAATCCCACTACGACCACAAACGCCTCTCGGCAGACCTCAGACACCCTTGGGCAGACCTCAGACGCCTCTCGGCAGACCGCTGACACCTCTTGACAGGCCTCAAACACCTCAGACCCCCAACGAATCCTCTAACCAACTTTCTCTGCCATACCTTTCAGTGTCCGCATTCACGCCTCTCCTCCAGGCATTACTTCTCGACCAGAATAGCAATGTATCTGCTGCTGCGCAGTCTGTCGTGTATTCACTTGTAGAGAAAATACTTGCCGGACCAGACATAAATCCCAAGGAGAAAGAATTATTGACGAAAGAGACGTTAGAAGAAGTGGTATTGGGAATCGGGAGATTGGATCAAGAGAAGAGTAAGAGAGACGATGAGGGTGACTTGGATAAAGGAGATGACAACAGTTTCGGGGGGATGAATGGCGGTGAAGAGGAAGTCGAGTTGGGGAGGATGATCATGATGACGGTGAGGAAATGACCATGCGCTTGGACGACTAGAGTCATTTTAATTGCTAAAATTAACCGTATGTTAATTAACTTTTGCCAAAAGCTAATTGCTTCTTTGGCGAGTCTTGTTGGTCCTGAGTTATGCGTTCGGTTATTCGTGCCGGAAATGGATCGGATGATTGAGGAACCAGAATTTTATGTTCGAAGGGTAATTATTATAATGATTACAACGTGACTGTGTGGTTTTTCTGATTGATTCATTACTTGCGTTATTCGACTCAGGAAGCAGCCTTAGCGATAGGAGGCTTGGCAAGCGTTGTCCCATTAGATGCAATAATTGACAAACTGGTAACTATTCTAATCCCCTTTACGCTTGTACCTTCTCCCTCACTCCCTATTATTTGTTGTCCTTTTCTCTCACAACATTAAAAACCCCAGACTTTGTTGATTTTGGGATCTAAAATCAACACCTGAATATTAATATTAATAAACCAAGTTACCCATATACGACCATTTCTCAACCGATGCTATATGGCACGTCCGTCGTTCGTGTTGCTTAGTATTGCCGAAGCTGTGCTCCCGACTACCTGACGATATGAAGGCCGAGAGAGCAGTAAGAGGAATCGACCTTTTTGCGAGAGATGTCAGCAAGAGCGTGAAGTCGACAGCCGGAGAGATTATTGGAGAGTTGATTACGACGTTCCAAACGAGTGGAAAGGTTCCGGAGAGTTTAGTTCAGCATTTCCTGAGCTTAGGCCCCGGAAGAGATGCGAGTGGTGGTAGTGGAAACGCGGCGTACGGTGGTTTGGGGGCAAGAGACCCAGAGAAACCTGCACGATGTGCCTATAATTTTCCTGGTGAGTTGATAACATTCAATTCACAACACTCGTTCGACTTTATATTAAATATCTTTCTTTCTTTCTTTCTTTCTTTCTTTCTTTCTTTCTTTCTTTACAGCAATTGTATTGACTCTGGGTCCAAGTCGTTGGGATGATCTTAAAGAGACTTATTCATCTCTAACAAGGGATGTGCAGGTGGGTATGCAATAAGATCTTCCATTCCTTAATAATCATTTGTTCTTCCCACTTTCGTGCAAAGATCTAACTGCTCGATTATGCATTGCACGTACCCGCTGTTTTTATAAGGTAAAAGTCCGTCGCTCATTAGCTTGCTCGCTGCATGAAATAGCCCGAGTAATCGGACCCGAGAAAACTCAACAAGATTTAATGAGAGTTTTCGCAGAATACACACACGACATAGATGAAGTGAAATCTGGTGTCCTCAAAAACATGGTTGCATTTATTGAGTGCTTACCGGAAAGTTCTAGGAATGAATATCTTCCAGAAATTATTCGTGTATGGAATGGCGTTGAGCATCAGTGGCGGCTCAGAGATGAAATCGCAAAGTAGGGTCAATAAGTTGGTTTCGGATTAAAACAGTAAATATGTTCTTATCTAACCTTATTGAGTGTTGTTTTTCCATTAGGCAATTGCCTGCCTTATGTGAATTATACGATGCGCAACATGTAGTTAATCATATACTACCGCTGACCATAAGGGCTATTCAAGACAAAGTCGCAAGTGTACGAGAGACTGCAGTGGCCACGGTAAGTTCGTTATTCGTTTTGTATTTGCTAAGAAATTTCCTCCTACTAACATACATTCCTTCCCGTATACTAGTTCTCTACTTTGTTTCGTATAGCAAAACATGATGACGCTTGTTATAACCAAGTAAGAGAACGCGTAAAACAGTTTGCAACGGAATACAGATTTCGTGAACGAGTATCGTAAGTTCTTACTCAAAATTGAAATTACATCACGCTTCAGTAATAGGTACCTTAACCAATTCCATTACTTTGACATTAGATACGTTCAGATATGCTCGGCTTTGATGTCAAACGGTTTCCCCAATTCTGAATTCGAGACACATTTTCTGCCCATTCTAGAAACACTTGTGTCTGATCAAGTAGTGAATGTTAGAATAGCAGTGGCGAGGCTTGTGTCCGATCTCTGTCAAACAGGCAAGCCATTTAGTTTAACTTGGCGTATTCGCATTTGCCGCATTATTTTATTTTGAAACTTTTTATTCTTGTCACTATAACTTTTATTGTTCTTCTCACCTGCACTTTTATTCTCACGTACAGAAGCCTATGGAAATATCCAGATCATCAATTCATCCAATCCAATTCTACCTTTGATACAAACTTTATCCCGAGACACTGACGTGAACGTCCGCTTATTTGTATTTCCGTTCCTCTCACCCGAAGAACGCGAGTCTATTCTCTCGTATCTCCAGCCTCAGAGTTTTGGGTCTTATTTGTATGTAGAGAGTTCAAGAGCTAATCGACAAGTAGATACAGATATGGATGTTGATAACGGTGATGAAGAGGAAGATGGAAGGACCGGCGATGAAGAAGAGGATGATTTTGGAGGTTTTGAGGATGTAAGGAACGAATTGGAAGAGGTGGATGTGAGAGATGGAGTAGATGTTAGAGATGAAATAGTTGAGGTGGCTGTGAGGGATGAAATAGTTGAGGTGGATGTGAGGAATGAAAAAGACGGGGTAGATGTGAGGGATGAGAGAGATAGGGTAGTTGTGAGAGATGAAAGAGATGAAAGAAAAGAGGTGGATGTGAGAGATAAGATAGGAGATGTGGAAGTGAGAGAGGAAAGAGACGTGGTAAATGTTATAATGGCATCTTCGAATAAACTGCAAAGCATTCGCTCTGCAGACTGCTAATAATTAACAATGAAAGTTACATTAATCGAGGTTTATATGTAAATGTTTGTGTTGCCATGAAAAGTTCTGTCGCCAACGGCTGATAAAGGATCACAATCGATTACCATAAATTGCACTCTGTAGATTTGAAAAGACCAAGATCAATCCCAACATCTCCCATAATACTAAATGACACGGACAACCGACAAGAGGCGGTCGTAGGGCCAGATTTGAAGGCGTTTCTCACGGAAACATATTTGCGCGTCTCTTAAATAGTAAGAACAAATTTGTTTCGCATATTTTTGGTGGAACAAATTCAATACCTTGTTTTTGGATTGAGAACGTTTCGGTTGTGCTTTGCTAAACTCTAACTTTCAATTACAAATGTCTTAGCTACAACGCGAAACATTTCGAAAAATTAATGGTGTTCAGTCAGAAGAAAAATGCGCGAGGAAGCTGATGCAGGTTATGGTCAAAGAATAGGATCTATTCCTGATAATTCCGTGGGATTATGAAATAAAATATGGAGCATATTCGTTACGGCCAATCAATAGTTTATTGTCTTTGGTATTTTTCGTGACGCACATTCTTTAATAGATTTTAATCAACATTCTTGCCGTTACAACAGAATACGATCATTCGCGGATAAGAACGTGACGACAATAATGGCAAGGATGATTGCTTGTGTAATTCTTCAATGTATTTTGACTTTTTTCACCATTGTTCCATTTGATCAGATATAGTACATACAGGGGGATACCAAAAGTATTGCAGGCTTTTATTTTTAGCTATAAAAAAATTTTTTTATTAGGACAACAGCCAATTTTATTTTATATTCAGAACTAATACTTTGGTATTTTGTATGTCCTCCATTAGCAGCGATCACAGCCTGAATTCTATTCACGATATACTTTTCCCGAAATCACTTCCCAAATCTCTCCCACTACTTCACCAACACTTGAAGGCTGAGAATTGCGTTTTCGAATTCTACCTCAACTACAAGTTCTCAATTGGGTTGAGATCAGGACTTATGTGAGCACCTCTATATTTTAGAAATTCCCGTGCAATGTGGACGGGTGCATTGTCTTCCTGAAAATGAACTCTTTTCTGGTTTGCTGGGAAAATGCTTCGAGTGTAGGGACTGCATAAGTGGAAAGTATCTCTTTGCATACGTTTATTGATTTTAGCAGAATATATATTGGTTATTTTTGAGATCAATCTTTGCCGTTTTTGGCAGGCGATCAAGCATGGTGACCTGGTCGTTTTTTAGAAGGTTCTCCTGATTCATAAGCTGCAAGATATCTTGTAATTGTTGTAGGATAACATCCTACAACTTTTGCGATTTCTGTATTATGATGGTCTGATTTTTTGACTGCAATAATGCATTTCTTTTGTGCAGAAGTTACTTCTTTACCAAGACCCATGACGCGAAAAATTGAAAATGATAGATATTTTTAAAAACCAATTTTACGATCCGTAATAGATTAAATAAATAACAATCCATTTAAGTAATAGGCAAATATGGAATCACATGGGCAGTTCCATATTAATAAAGTTATTAAATCAGTTTAACTTTCTATTTCGACCGTGCAATACTTTTGGTACCCCCCTGTACATTGCTGATAGTCAGCTTGTTCAAGGATGTGTGTGCATTGAAGCATCCAACTACCATATTATACGGTTCCTTACCATGTCACGAATTCTATCCATAAGCTCATCCCCGTCGTTGCAATTTTTCCGACTTCTATTCGAACATAGTTTCCCTGTAATGAGGTATCGTTTTAAGCATATTGGATGCTGTTTTTATTTTCTCGGCAAGTAAAGCTATTCTTTTTGTTAAACCGTGAACAAAAAATAAGTAGCGTAGCCGGAATTCTTTTTGTTGAGCTACAAAACTATTAGGGACTCGTCTCGCTTGTGTTCAAGTCTTTTCGCCGACCTGATAGGATGGGAATTTGTTATATTGATAAATATATCAGTTACTGATTCCTCAGTCTTTCTTTCTGTATGAAAGTGACGTATTTCGCCAACATGCGGAAGTGGCTTGTAAATTGAGTAACTGCTGATGGTGTAGTACGTTTGCATGCAACATCGGAAATATGGCGTTTCTCCATAATTACATAAGGAACAATTTAAACAATTTGTGCATTACCATACGTTAGTCTGACATTGTGGTATAGTGTGGTCTGGCGAATATTATTGCGTGATAGTCGTCAAATATTTTAAATCTTAGCTAAAACGCGTTTCTCTAAACTTTCTTGTAACCAATAAAATGAGAATGGCTTTGGTTTACCCATTTTCAATATTGCGCGATTGAGCTGGCTATGCACATTCATGATTGTATAATTTAATTGGTGAATACTGACATAAGTCAGCCTCAATCATAGTGTCACAATCATGCATCGGCACCGTTGTCACTGTTTAGGAACAAATAAACGTTGTTCTAATATGAAGCGTTGCATACACACAGCCTTGTCCTTGTCCAATCACGACTAATACCGCCATTTGAATGTTGATCATGTACATTGCCACCACGGCCACATGCATGTAATGAAGCCACTTTAAGCCAGGATATTTGATATCGGAAGAGATTCTTATGCATGATCAGATTAGACGTCACTTACTATTACACACTTACACACTTACACTGCCCAATGTCACAAACATTTTAGAAAGTTCGAATCATACAGCACTGCCACGAGAAACAGTGAAAGCCTAGCCAAGCCCGTAATGAAAGCCCCGAATTCAAATAAACAAAAAAAAAACATATGCACGCACAATATTAACAAAGTGTTAGGATGTTAGGATAATCACACACACCCCCGCCTTACGAGGCGAAGCTCATCAGACGACTCGCTCTCTATGGGAAAAGGGCGAAGCAAAAATATTCAGCACTGCCGCGCAAATAGTTATAAATACGACTAGACTTTCGGTGAATGTCTCCTCACTTCTCTCAAGTAAAGAAGACTTTCAATTGTGAAAACGAACAGACAGTTTAACAAAAAAACCAATCAACCAAGCAAACTCTCAACTCAATTAATATACCAGCCAAAAATGAAAGTATCAATCTTCGTCCTCTTGTTCGCTCTCTTCGCCTGCCTCGCAATTGCAGCACCAGTACCACCAGCAGGTACTGCATATAATAATTTTAAGGTTACCGGTCCAAACGGAACATTCAAACAATGGAGTCAGCAAGGAGTTACATGGAACGTTGACTGGAATGAACCTGGGGCTTATTCGGGCAACAAGCAAGTACATGTCGTCATCGTTGGTACCAACAACTTTTGGAAATATATTGGAAAGGTAATTTATTAAATTTCCTACACAAAAAGCCTGTTTACACGTGATTCATAATCTGTATCCCTAACAAATTCCATAATCTTTTTTAAAAATCACAGTTCAGCTATGGCGGTGGCTACGCTCAATTCACCCTTGACGGATCATTCACTCCCGGAAGATGGTATTATCCTTATGTGTACCGTGATGATGATAGCAACAAGGCTGCTACTGGTAACTGGTTCGGCGTAAACTAAAACGTCAGGCTTTCATCGAGAAAAAAAAATAGTTGCTAGTCTGTGATAAACGGACAATTTGTCATTATTGTCGTTCGGATTTTATTTATATATATCTGTACATGTAACTCTAACACTGGGAAATAAAAGTGTAAATAGATTATCATATTGTTAACAAGTATTTATGTCATCACGTAACGCATGCAGTTTATTGAAACACCACATTGAATTAATGTATAGGCTGAATTATATATAGCCTCTAAATGAGCCATCTAAATGTAGTGTCGATTTGCGACTGTCGCCCGCGTACAGTATACATCTTCAATATTAATTAGCATATACTATTTACTCCTTGCTATTTTAGAAATACATAACGTTTCACGGGACGCCTGAGTTAAAAATGCGACAATATGTCCGAGACTCTCGCGACACACTGTATCTTCACATTAAATATCTTTCAAAAGCTTTGCTTCACCTGTCTTCGATTCTTTATCACACTCTCGATTACAAAAATTCTAAAGCGGGCCAGAAAAACATACTAATGAGAAACGTTTCTCCTTCATACGCAATGTATGTACGCTCTATGGAACAAGTATTACTGTACGTTTGGGTTTCCTTTTAACAAATACCAAGACCAACGCGGGGTTCAGTTGGCGTAAGGATTGTTTATTTTCGAGGCCGCGTCGACCAACCACACGACGAAATATGCCTAACTGCGATGAACCCTTTATTATTAGGGCATGCTAACACCGATGGCTGGTTGTTACTATTAGCTATAACTCATTAAAGTAAACTGAATGTTACTGTTTAACTACAGAATAACTTGGATATATAAAGTTAAAACTGAGTTCGATTTAATTAAACGGATTAATGCTCAGCTTACACCTTACTGGAGGATCCATACTGAAATGAGTAAATAGTATATATCGGAAGACAGCTGGGTAATAAAGCTTTGTTGGCGTTTGGCGAGTATGCCCCCCAAAGAAACTACCTAGATTGTTAGTATATTACTCGATTGTCTTTCATCCAAATTATGTACATTCCCCATGGTATTCAAACAAAGGTTTTTGTAAGAAGTGATCATACTTGTAATACAAGTAGTGGTATATTAAGCATCTATTTGATATACACGTGATTGTTTTTCTTGCTTAGTATACATTGTTTTGCACATCGACTTAATCAACAGACTACTCGTTCAATTATCCACATAGTCTTCGATCGGTGGACAAGAGCAGACGAGATTCCTGTCACCATAGGCATCATCTGTAACACGGAAACAAACATTAGACATATAATGTATGCATTTACGATGTTGTATTACTGAACACTTGCCTAATCTGCTCACTGACGGCCAAAACTTGCGACTTTGTAATTCCACCATTGGATACGCGGCTTGCTCGCGTGAATATGTCTTGTCCCATTCTGTACTGACCAACGTATGAATTGTATGCGGTGCGTTTTTCAAAATATTGTTGCTTTCTGGTTGTCGACCTTCTTCAATCTCTTGGATTTCTTTACGTATAGAAATCATTGCATTGCAAAATCTATCTAATTCAGCCTTTGATTCGGACTCGGTTGGTTCAATCATTAAGGTATCTGGTACTGGCCACGACATTGTTGGAGAGTGGAAACCATAATCCTAACATTTTGAATAGCAATTGTTAATATGAGAACCTAAACAGGCATGCAAAACACACTAAATGCTCGCCTGCAATCGCTTGGCAATATCAAGGGCAGAAATTTTAATTGTCCTAAATGGTCCGATGTCAATTATAAACTCGTGAGCACACATGCCATTATTATTTGTGTACAATATTTTATAATATGGTGCTAGTCGACGAGCCATATAGTTTGCATTAAGAAGAGCCAGTTTAGTAGCCTGTGTCAAGCCGTCCGCACCTGGTATCAGCAGCGTTAATGTTAGTCAAATATTGGGGATATTACATTAGCATGTCAATATTCACACAAATCAATAAAATTTCTACCCATCATTTTTATATATGCCCACGAGATTGGTAATATAGCTGCAGAACCATATGGAGCTGCAGAAATAGGACCAATTGCCTTCTCGCCACCAACATGTTTTAATGGGTGTCCAGGAAGAAAAGGGATCAAATGTGATTTACTGAAAATATGATAACAATAAAAATCTAAGCATGCTGTTGGGTAATAAACGATCATTTGCTCGTTAAATAATTACTTACACGCATATCGGTCCCATACCAGGACCACCTCCACCATGCGGAATGCACTAATTATTAATATTAAATCAGTAAGCATGACGCAATTGCGCAAAAAATTTTTTTTCATCCAGACTTACCAGTGTCTTGTGAAGATTCAAATGACACACATCAGCTCCAATCTCTGCAGGTGTACACAGACCAATTTGCGCGTTCAAGTTAGCCCCATCCATATAAACCTGTCCACCATATTTATGTATAATGTCACAAGCTTCCGTTACCCCGGTTTCAAACACCCCATATGTCGACGGGTACGTAACCATAAACGCAGCTAATCTGTCTTTGTACTTTGCCGCGTTCTTTTCAAGATCTTCCATATCGAGATCGCCATTCGTTTTACATTTTACAATGATAACATCCATTCCAGCCATGGCAGCAGATGCAGGGTTAGTGCCATGGGCAGATACAGGAATTAGACAAATATTACGGTCGTTATCGCCACGAGATTGATGATAGGCACGAATTACTCGGAGACCAGCATATTCTCCCTGCGCGCCCGAATTAGGTTGTATCGATACGCCATCGTATCCAGTGATGTCGGCAAGATCATGTTCCAATTCCTAAGAAACAAGAAGAGTGAGATTGAAGACCGAGAGATTGTAATAAATATCAGATAGAGCGTTTATTGCATTAAATCAGAATAGCGAATCGCAAACCACAAGGTCCTCTACCTTTATTAACTTTTCGTATCCTTTTGTTTGTTCTGATGGAGCAAATGGATGTATGTTCGCAAACTCGGGCCATGTTACTGGAATCATTTCGGTTGTGGCATTGAGTTTCATTGTACAACTGCCCAATGGAATCATCGAATGAACAAGCGAAAGGTCCTTGGCCTGCAGGTAATGAATATAACGCAACATTTCAGTTTCAGAATGGTAGCTATTGAAGACCTGATGCTGCATGAATGGGGATTTCCTAAGAAATTGGGTTGCAACTGCAGATCGAGATTTTTCGGCGATTGCTGCCAGATCAGGCGCTGTTACTTTTGGTTTGCTGAATATATTAATTAATCGTTCCAAGTCTTGTTTAATGACTGTTTCATCCAAGGTAATACCAACTGTTGATGAATCAATCTTGCGTAGATTAATGCCGAATTCTAAAGCCTTGTTGATTATTACATCTGATCCTTCTTCTACGTGTACAGCTAAGGTATCAAAAAATTGCCTAGTCTTTATTGGATATCCCAATTGCGCCAGCCCGTCTGCCAGGATTGTTGTGAGGTTGTGAATTCTTTTGCCTATAGCTTTGATTCCCTTTAAGTCAAATACAGTTCAGCTTAGATTCATGTGCTCTAATAGTTTCTCCACATTATTAAATCATCGTTGTTTTACCTCCGGTCCATGATATACGCCATACATGGCGGCCATGTTAGCTAGCAAAGCTTGAGCAGTACAAATATTACTAGTCGCTTTTTCTCTTCTGATATGCTGTTCTCTTGCTTGTAATGCCAATCTGTATGCTTTGACTCCGTGAGAGTCATGTGATACACCAACAAGTCTCCCTGGCATTTTGCGTTCGTAATGCTTTGCAACTGCAAAAAATGCCGCATGCGGACCGCCATACCCCAAGGGGACACCGAAACGTTGGCTATTGCCAAGAGCAATGTCAGCTCCCCATTCTCCAGGAGGTACCAACATTGTCAATGCCATTAAATCAGTTGCACATACGACTTGGCCGCCATACGAATGAATTTTTTTGGCAAATGATGAATAATCATTTATGCTTCCGTCCGTTGCCGGATACTAAATAAAATATAGTTTTCTAGTGAATATTATAGTATGACTAATCCGTACTCTTACGATTAAAATCAATTTTCATGCACCAGCGCACCTGAATGAGAACGCCGGCCAAGTCATCCTTGTGCTGCTCAAAATCATATGTCAATGCATTACCAATTTTAATATTAATGTTAAATGCCTCTGCGCGTGTCTGCACGCACGCAATGGTCTGAGGATGACAATTTTCATCGACAAAGAAGGTATGACGCTTTTTACTTTTATGTAAATAGCACATTCGCATTGCTTCTGCTGCAGCCGTACCTTCATCAAGTAATGAAGCATTAGATATTGGTAATCCCGTGATGTCAGAAACCATTGTTTGGAAATTCAGTAATGATTCCAAGCGTCCTAGTTTTAAAAAACATTAGTATTAGTCGACGGTTTTTCATGTTTTAATTGTTCCAGTAACTTTTCCATTGCAATCATTTGTGTAGTAACATTTTACCTTGAGAAATTTCCGGTTGATACGGAGTGTACTGCAAGTAAGTGTAGTAAAAAGTAACATTGATGATGCGAGTATTTCAATCGAGAGACGACGCCGACTTAGAGAGTCGTTCACTGTGATTGTGTATATTATATGTTCTATAAAAAGAAATCCACGTCTAAACTCCTTGCATACATACTTGTGTGTACCATCCAGGCGATTCTAACACGTTTCTCAAAATAACCGGTGGGACTACTGTGTCTGCATAGCCCATTCCAATGTAAGACTTGTAGACTTTGTTTTTTGAAGCAATTTCTTTTAATCGCCCCAACAATTCGCTCTCAGTTAAAGCATTATCCAAATGAAGGCGACGTGTTGAGCGAATATTGCTCGGAATAGTTTTCGTGACAAGTTCGTCCATGTCTTTTACGCCCACAACGTCAAGCATGACCTCTATGTCACCCTCTACAGAGCCATTGTGCCGGCGAGCAAATGTGTCCAGGGGAGCAAACGCATTGCGTTGTCGGATAGTTGTGGAAAATTTCTTGAGAAGGGGAGACTGATAGACGCGACTTTGCCGACTACTCGGTGCACGAAGTGTCAATGGATGTATTAATGAGTTGAGGGATAATATCCTTGTAGATCTAGTAGCAATGCGAGACAACATTCCGTGTCTCTGTGGATTATTGTGAACAGTCTAAAGTTAAAATTTTTGGCAGTCGGAAATAATCGTGAAGCTTTCATATTTGATCCATGATGATCCGATCCGCGAACCAATTTGAAGTCATGATGACCAATCACTTGGCGATGAATGGTTTGATAAGGCATGTGGGTGGTACAGAGTTTTTTTGAGTATGGAGAGGGGCATAGTAGCAGTGTAACGTATTCGGAATTGATGCCATTTAACCTTCCCATACTAATACATACTATTATGTTAAAAATCTTTTTTGATTTTAGCAAATATGTCGTCCATTGACTTTGAAACCGGCGAGCTTTTGTGTTTTTTGTTCAAGGGTTGTTGAAGATGGGGGAGGCATAGGAACTGTTTTACGTGTGAGGGAAAAATTACACCGAAATTTGGGTTGCCAAACATGACAAACTACTTATGAGTTAATTAGCTAATACTAAGCTGCACCACAAGTTTGTGATGTCTACTAACGATATACCAAATTGAAATACAGCATGTTATGTCAGATGATTAAATTCTCGTTGAAAGCTAAAACTAGACAATTTTATTTAAACAACTAATTAAGTATTCGTTCGCCATTGTTATAAACGGTAAAGCCGACAACGTTCCTTAATTGACCCGATTAATTTAATTTATAACATTTTGCGGAATATTTTCGCATTTATGTATCATAAACCTTCCAATATTTTTGTTGTCACTTCTCTACTCTTTCCTTGGCAATGATCCATAAGTTTTCAATAGGGACTGTTAGAGAGCAGTCTATCATATTTTTAAAGGAATTGTTGCTTGTATGTCTAATACTAGAATTATAATTTGTTGGAGCTGCTACTACTTATCAAGTATCAGAAATGTGTTTACTTATGATTTCGACTTGAATAGGTCAGTCATGTTTACACAGAATTGGGAAGAGACTTTTTTGATTTTTTAATTTCAGTAAGGGCAATGATACAGTAGCTGAGAAAGGTTAAAATCCCCGCCAGCTGAACCATCTGCAGATGCTCCCCCAAACTAAACACACCTAAATAATACACTGACAAGAACTTGTTGGTTTAGTATTGTTATCAAGCGTGATAGCAGCAATATTAGCAATTGGATGTCTTGGTAGAGATCTTTTGGGGCATTTCAAATGGAGATGTCACATTCTTTTTACAGTGATCGGCAGTACAATCGATTGATAATTACATTATACCCACCCAGTTTAGGTTATACCACTCAGCCGGTTCTAGCGAATTTAGCCATTAATAATTGAATTATACTCTCAGTTAGACACTCTATGGCGCAATTTGCGTCGTCATTTGAGCGATATAATTGGTCGACAACAATTTCGTAGTTGCGCATATTGCAGCTGAACATTTAGCGAAACATTTAGCGAAACATTTAGCGAAACATTTAGCGAGGCATTTAGTGAGACATTGGCAGCCAAGGATAATGGCGATAATTTTGCGTTTGCGTCGTCATATTTGATCTTTAAAACTGCGCACAGCACACAGGCAAAGCATTGTCATTTGAGCTAGCTGGTAATACGCCAAAATATAATTTCTAATAATAGTATATTTTTGTAACAATTTTACCTTGACGTACTACCGGATACTATAATTTTATATTTTTGCCTGCAGACTTAAATCCAAAAAGCAACAATGCCTCTTGACGGATTTTGATAACTTTTTGTCATGATACTTTTGTCTGAAAGAATTTTATATTTTTCAAAGCTCTTATTGCATTAGAACCAGCCTCCTAACACTTGGTGATTGTTGAATAGTTTTACGAAATCTATATTACATCAAGTATTATTCTCCTATATCAGCTGAAACATACTGTATATTTTCCATAAATAATGTCATATTATTGGTAAACAAACAGTGGCATGTGTTTAATAGTTTCAGCGTTATCAGGACTAATATCTGGGGGCTTAACTATTAATTCCGCATCAGCCCGTCATCCTTCTCCGCACCTTTCTTATTAGATACGTTTGCACAATCAGTTTTAGTGTCTTATATCAAAGCTATACTGATAAATGTTCCAGTACTAGCAATAAGACTACAAAAAATATTTATCAGATAAACGCCTCTGATATTCGACTTCAATATAAGTTTCTACTGCGGGTGGCAAATCAAGAGCATAACAATCAATGTCTTTTATAACAACTGGCAAATCACCAGGTTTAATGGTATGTCACTTCGTAATCTGTATCAGCAAAGACGAGTTCGAACTTCGCCTCCTTATGATGTAATATAACGTCAAATCGGATGAGTTTATTTTATCTCCTTATGATGCAATATAACGCCAAAGTCGGGCTTGTCCATACTACTATGCACTCATCGTTATCTTCCTCTGGTAACTTGCAGAACTCACTTTCTCTGCTCTGTTTGGTTACAAAATCAAGTCACAAAACGTTTATAGAATCACGCACCATACTCTCTTCCTGTACGGTATGTAAATACGAGCATAATAGTCTGTCACACAAAAGGCTTAATCACTGCCAAAATCAATGATAAAGTCCTTGATGAAAAAATTTTAAAAACTCCGTTTCCACAAGTATGGCAAACCGTTCAGGTATATTCGTGACAAAGGTATGCTTTTCATCAAATCAGTAACATTTTGAGCTTTTAAATAACATTATTACATACAAACCAGATCGAGAGGTTTACAAAAGAAGCTGCACGACCGCGTCGATATATATTGATCCCTTAGCAATTGAAAAATTTCCCCCCTCTTCCTCAAAAACTACTTTATTGTCTGAGCTTTGAAAAATGCCTATTCTCGTAATCGAGTGGAATCCAGCAGGATTTAATGATGTGGGTGCATCAGGACTAAGGAACGGTGTTAAATCTAACTGCAAATGGAACACAAAATTATCTTTAGGGCTGATGATTCGGGCAATAAAATTGATGCGATGGTGGACATGGATTTTTTGGAGTTCTCGACCTTGGAAGTTTCAGGGCCTCTATCATGCCTTGATTATTCTCACTATGTTGGAGATAGGAGTGTTGTACCTCAATCGCTCAGTCCAGAACTGAGACAGATTCCCAACTGAGGTACAACAGGAATAAGATCGCGAAGATGCTCAAGATTATCTTGAACTACATTAAAATCAAATACACAGTGAACATGGATATAACAGAGCCTGGACATAATGAAAACTTGGATATCACGATGTTTTTTTTATGTCCCAAATTTTGTTTAATAAAATTTCCTGGATATAACGAAAACCTGCTATAACGAAGAAAACGGGCGGAACGGAGGCACTTCATTATATTCAGGTTCATAGTAAAGTATATGGTATTCAAATATATGGTAAGTTTTATAAACTGGATAAAATGCTTATTATAAGTATATACTAATGCCTTCCTATCATAAATCCACATAGACCATAATTTTTACGTCTACAGCATGTGAATGCCCTTTGCTGGTATATATTATTTTAAATTAGAAAAAAAATTTTCCTATCCAACAATCATACCCACGAAGTTACCAAATTTTCTTCGAACTTGTAGATAATGCGGGTAAGTATTTACACGAAAATGTTGATGTACAGTGGCCTGCCAAAATTTTACGACCACCTGCCGATCATCCAATTGCAATCTGCCACTTGTTCAATTTTCAA